TGCGCTACCAAATCAAGAAGCTGCTACCGTTGCAGAGGTACTTGTTAAAGAATTCTTTAGCCGCTTTGGTGTTCCCTTGGAGATCCACTCCGACCAGGGCGAAACTTCGAGTCAAACCTTTTCCAAAACGTTTGTAAATTGATTGGTGTCAATAAGACCAGAACGACACCCCCTGCATCCTCAATCAGATGGAATGGTCGAGAGGATGAACCGAACGATGGGTAAACACCTGTCCAAAGTTGTATCAAAACATCAAAGAGATTGGGATCAGCACATTCATTTATTCTTAATGGCATACCGCTCGGCCGTGAATGAAACTACAGGCCAGACTCCAACCTGCCTGATGTTAGGTCGTGAAGTTCGTTTGCCCTGCGACCTAGAGTTTGGCTGCAGACCTTCCGAAGAACATGTTGCAAGCGAAGATTATGTCGATCGTCTGAAGTTAAGAATGAACAGCATTCATGAACTTGCCCGACAACACATCCAGTTAGCCAGTGACAGAATGAAAGATCAATACGATTCTCGATGCAAGAATGAAAGCTATGAAGTAGGTGATCTTGTTTGGCTTTATAATCCACAACGTCGTCGTGGCTTGTCTCCTAAACTGCAAAGACAATGGGAGGGTCCGTATGAAATTAAAAAGAGAATAAATGACGTAATATACCGAATTAAGAAGTTGCCGAAAGGCAAACCAAAAGTAGTTCACATAAATCGTCTTGCCCCTTATGCTGGCTCAAATGAAACCGAAGAAGTCCGAACCCTTCAACATGAGATCAAAGATAAACGGCGACCAAGCTTTAAGGAGTTTATGTCAAATTACGCAGAAAGAAAGAATGCTAGATTCGGCGTGACGACAGAAGTTCAGCAGGATCTTTTTAGTGTTCCGCATAACGTCACTCTAGCCCACTGTGTTGCCCAAGATCTTGAGATGACTAAAGGAATCTCATCCGTATTTTATAAGAAGTTCGGTCGTTTGGACGAGTTAAAAAACCAGCAGCCTAAAGTTGGAAGAGTACTGAGATTAGAAGATGGTTCTCGATCTTTGCTGTATATGGTGACCAGGAAGTCGTATACAGACAGGGCAACCTACGAGGATATATGGTGTGCTCTAACTAATTTGAAGAAAATCGTCTGCAATTACGACATTAAGAATTTGGCCTTACCCAAGATAGGCCATGCACTAGATAATCTGGATTGGAAGATTGTCAGAAGCATGCTAGAAGTGATCTTCCGAGAAACCGGTGTAAGAATTACTGTGTGTTGCATTAATCCGAAGAGATCGTGTCCTTCAAAGACAGTAGACTGTTATTTCTTTCTGAGGGGTTCATGCAGAGCTGGAGAGTTCTGTAGATTCCGCCATTCTGGGCCTATATATAGAGTTGCTGATCGGGACGCTCAGATCTAAGAGGGGAGCAGTGTTACGAATATGCTTTCGGCATGGCCATTTAACCGATGCATCTCGAAGGATCGAGAAATTACCGGTCATATATCAAGCGCTGTCAAATTCCACCCGTCGTCAGATAACGAATTAGAGATGGGACTAATCCTGAATATTCTCGAACATAGTAACTTTGGTATATATAGGTAACGAAATTAGGAGTTAGGTTGAGTTGATAAGATAGTATCGAACTGTAAAGTTATAAATAAATATATTTATATAAATTCGAACCGCTCGTTTTATTTAATCACGTTACAATACTGTTATAATTAATCTATTGTATATTAATTTATGTAAATATATACCAATCTTAGGGGGTTGGGTATTGTATAGATATCAATGGAATGAATAAAAGCAATTTTATTTATTTAATAATAACTCATACAATTACGTTCTAATAGATATTTTATTGACAGATAGAGGTTATGTATTTTATTATCATTATATTTATCTTTATATTTGATCCGGAAAGATTTTGTGTTTTCCAGTGGTGGAGTGATTTGAAGTTAGTGAGGCGCAAAAATTAATCTAAAAATCTTTTTTTTCGTCACATTAACTTGACAAGAAGTTTTTATTTTTAATCTAGAGCAGAAATCCGCCTTTCCAAAATATTAGCGCGCTATCTAAATATACCATTTTGAATACTCTTAAAAGTATCTTTGAAATTTTGTAAATTATTTTTAAGCATTTAATTATTTTTCGATGTGACAACCTTTTAGTTTCATTAAAACCCAAATTCTAATTCAAAATCACTGCAAAATTGGACAGAGCTTATAATTCTTTTAGAATTTCAAGATTTTGATTACTTTTTCATTATGAACTGGGTAGTAGGTAGTACCGTTTGGCATGGACTCACACGAGCAAATAATTGCAATGCTTAATTATATTTTGTCTATAAACAGAATCTAATTGTATTGTTATATTTATTTATGTATTAATGTACCGTACAATAATTAATATGTCTTCGAGAATCTTCATGCTTTCTTATATTTTCAAGAAGATATATCGTAACGCATATCGTTGATCCCTGTCACTGTCACAGCTAAATAAATATAGCGGTCATTCCACCTGCAGCCGCCTCTCTTTCTCTTCCTTGTGCTTTATGGTTTTTGTAACAAAAGCAATGATCAGTTCGAAATCGTGCTTGCTGTCGATGGCTTTATCGATCAGCTTGTGAGGCTCGCCTAGTGGGGATCCCAGGCTCAGCTGCAGTTCGTTTCGCCCCGTGTGGTATGCAGGGCAGTCGAACACAACATGCCGCTCATCATCCACCACCCACACTCAGGACATGGATAGTCTCCGGACCTCCCGATTCTATGGGTGTATTTCCGAAACGATCTGTGCCCCGTCAGAAACTGCGTGAAGTAGTAGTTGACGCGCCGATGCCGACACCCATACCACCTCACTACATCCGGGACCAGGGACCTCGTCCAGGCCGCATTTTCGACTTCGGCGGCCCATTCCCTCTGCCACATCTCCAAGCTTCTGGCTCTTTCTTGTGTCCCTGAACCAACCGCCCGCTGATACATTCGAGCCCTCTCCCTGGCCAGGATGTGCACGGGTACAGAACCAGCTACCACCTGTAAGGCAATGGTTGATACAATGGTTCTGTACGCGCTGCTTACCCTGCTCAGAGGTTTCCTTTGAGCCCTAAAGAGCATGTCCTTATATTTCTTCATCTGGAGGACTTCGTGCCACACGAGGGCCCCGTACAAGATGATCGATAATATTGACTGTAACATAACTGATCTCTTCTGAGATCCGGGCCCCTCTATATTTTGACATTAATTTGTTCAATGCTGAGGTCCTCCCTTCCGCCTTTCGACATGCTTCTTGTATGTGCTGCCCAAAGTCGGTCGTCGAAAGTAATACCGAGATACTTGACTGTCTTTGGGGTCTTCTTTCGGAGCCTTGATATTTGAGAACTAAGTCATCCCTTTTCCTTGGTCCTCTATCTCTATACATCCCCAGAGAATTATTATCTCTGTCTTGTCTACTGCTAATTTTAAGTCGTTCTTCTCGATCCACGCCGCGGTAGTGTTTATTGCTTTATTTACCTTTTCTGTTATGCCCCAATTCATATCATCCTCAACCAATAGGGCTAGATCGTCTGCGTATGCTATCGCTTTGACTCCTTGTCGCTGCTTGTGAATTTCTAGTACACCATTGTATAACACGTTCCAGAGTAAGGGTCCCAGGACTGACCCTGGTGTACTCCCGCGGTCATTTGTTTCTTTTTCTTCTTGGATACGCATACGGATCGTTCAGAAATATAGTCCTTTATTATGTTGGACATATATTCGAGAGCCCCGCTTTCGACTACTCGGTCTACTATGAGGCTCCAGTTTGCTGAATTAAAAGCATTTTTTATGTCCAACAGAAAAAGAACTACCCATCTTTTCTTACTTGAATTTTCCGCGTTCCTTATCCAGGTCGCGGCGTCGATTGTTGATCTGCCTTTCCTAAATCCGTACTGTTGGTTGCATAAGACTCTCTCATCTTCCAACATACTTTCCAGCCTCTTCTTGATACGTCTTTCGTATAACTTACCAAGGCAGTCCAGAAGGCACATTGGCCGATAAGAGGTCGGTGAATCAGGGGGTTTCCCGGGCTTTAAGAGTAGAACCAAGTTCGCCTCCTTCAAGTCCCTGGGAAACTCTAGTTTCTGTAGTAGATCATTAAATATTCTTCTGATCAAACCTGGTTTCTCAGTTGCTATTATCTTTATTGCTTCTGATGGCATCCTGTCAAGGCCAGGAGCTTTCCCTGTCTTCGTATCCTGACCAGCGGTTTTCACCTCCCCTTCTGTGAACTCCTCTATCATGGTTGGGAAAATCTTGGTGAAATTTTGCATGTCCTTGGTGGGAAAGAGGAGTTCAGTTGATCTCATCCGCTGGTCTTCGTAGAGTCTATATGGGGCCATTAGCTTTAAGGTCTTCATTGTGATTTTGTATGCATCACCCCATATATCCTCGTCGAGTGCTTTTATCAGCGTCTGTCACTTTTCTTTTTTCTCTTTTTATTGTATTATTTCATATTTTCTTCAAATCCTTGTATGTTTCTTGGAAGGTTGTCCTGGCTTCCTTCGAGCTCTGAGGCATCTCTACCGTAGATCTATCTCATCTGTCCACCAATAGGAGGATTTTTTTCCATTTTTTTTTCTTCTCGGTAGCCAATTTTGCCGCATTTTGTAGAGCTGTTCGAAGTTTGCCGAGGTCAGAAATCTCATCTTCACTTATTTTTCTGACCTCCCATAGGTACTTGTTGTGATTTTGTGATTTTATTTTATTCTTTAATTATTCGCATCGTTGTTCAATTTCTTGTAAAATCTAATGTATAAAATTCAAATCACACCATACGTTTGATACTTAAAACGTTTTTATGACCGTAATTGTGTTAAACTACTTAACGCATTGAACTTTAATTTCTTGCCTAAAGCTATAATCTGCATTCCAAGTTTTGTTAGGTCTATAATCGAAAGTTTAAATTTATTCATTTGCACTTTCACGAATATTAGAAAAAATTGCAAATGTTAAATATAATATATTGTTTGTTATTTCAGAATTTCTGGTTGTAAATACAGTCGTATAGGTTGTCCATGGAGAGGTCCATTACATGAAAGATCTGAACACGAGAAGGAATGCGTTCACCCTAATCGCTCTGGAGCGGATGTAATGGAAGCGTTGAAAGGTTTAGATCAGCAGATGAACGAGGAACGTGTACTTTACGATAGTATATTTGACTTACTGGGATACGAAAAAATCACATTTAACGGTAAGAATTCATCCTCATCTATAAATAGGAACACAAAAAGAAATAGGACGTCGCGTTCTCTATTATTATTAGCTCAGACGATTTACGAGTTTAGAAAGACTATTCGGATGTTTGACATACTTTTGTCTATTTTTGTTTTACTGTAGATTTGTGCTTTATTTTGCAGCGTTGGTTCTTGGTTGACTAAAACGCTAAAAACTACTATTTTTTGCTTAGTGATTTGTTTTTTAATTCATTAATTGAAGGCTCTTCTGTACGTGAAGAAATTTAAAAGATCATTAAATGAATACTTGTGTTTTCTAGAATATGAAGTGTAAATTTAGAATTGGTCCTTTTGTTTTTAAAAGGTTTGTCGTGTTTTTGTTAGCATTCAAAGAATCTGCTTGTTTGTCCCATACCTAACAAAATACAAATTTAACTTCCCATTAAGAATATATTTCAGTTTCATGTTTTTCATTCTACTTCTGGGGGTGCTTTATCTGTTAGGAATATGGGTAAAAATATAAAAGCTATAAACATTATCATGAGTTTTCTATGAAGTTTCTACTCTACCTTCATTAATAGTAATCGTTCGGTCTCTTGCGCGCAAGTGATTTTCGCAGGTAAGTAAGGTCATTAGTGTCTCCAGCCCATATGTAATGCCAGCTTCAGATCCCCACTTTTAGTCTCTGGAACGAAGCACATGTTTAGAGTCAGGAAGTTCTTCAGCCTTAACAGCTTTTCACTCCGTTTTTTCTTCAAGAAAGTTCTTTATGATATTATCACTTTTTCACTCGACGTATGGGATTCCTCGACAATCTTCCTCCTACGAAAGTTAAACTCTTTTCCTTTAAAACGCATCTTCATTTTTGTCGATAGGTCGCTTGAATCAAAAGATATTGAATTTTTACCGTCGAGCTCATACAAATTTTATTGAACATTGATTTCGCCCACGTAACTGATCTTCAAAATCGACGGTCACTTCAACTGTTGTTTCTGAGAGTTCGTTCTACACAAGAAGTGCCAATAAACATTTCTGTTTAAAATTATCTGAATTACATTTTTTATTTGAACATTTTTTTTCTTTGGCGTACAGATTCTTGGTAAATCGATTTGTTTTTCGTTTTTACCCCCATACGAGGGGGTTTTAGGAGGAAGCCTAGGAAGTTTAGGAGGTGAAATTTTTTTACATCTTTTTGGGGTCCCAAAATTAATATTCTGGGCAAAAGTTTATCATTTTTATTATTTTCTTGTTTGAGGTAATTCTAGTAGAGACAGGTCACTTAGCCTCCTGTGTCAGATTAGTTATTTCTCTAGTAGATATTTCTATGCTATGAAGACCTTGTAACTCTCTCCTCCCTAATATTTCTAAGGTTCCTTTGATCCTTGGTAAAAGGACTTTGTAGTTTTTTGACTTCTTAGAGTTCCCCATTTTTTATGTTGGTCCATTCTGATCCCAAGTATTGAGGATTAAGGATCCAGACCTAAAGATCTCCCAATTTAAGAGCTAATATAAGAAGAGGTGCAACCTAGTTCTTTCAGCGGACCGTTTGTGGCAGTTCTTTTTAAACTCGCAATTGTTTCGCTTCTTTAGGTACCGTAAATTACGACTTTGTTTCACGACTGTTATTTTATAATAGTACATTTTTACGTCTGCAAGGGCGCAGATATTAACAAAATTCGACGCGACAGCGGGCGCCGTAATCTCCTTTCGCTCATTGGTGGCCTTTCTCGAATATCTGCACTATTTATAGCATTCGTGTGACATATCCAGGATATGTCATAACCCATATTTAACATTTTTCTAAACATGCTAAAAAACTTAAACGAAACTGCTTAAGTTTAGTTTAGGTTTAGAGCTGACCACGCTTCATCATATTACTTTAGGAAAACTACATTTTTTCATAAAACTTCTGTCTTTCTATAACCTTGGGATAAATTATAAAAATAACTTCTTCTTCTTCACGAGCCATAGAGTTATCCGACGTTGGCGGATCTTCTGTCATGACAAATTGTCCTGCATTTGATATCTCAGTCCATTCACGAATGTACATATTATTATATGAGTATTAATAAATTTCATACAAGCTGATAATATACAAGTTTAAGATGAAACACACTAAATTACTCTTGTTTTTATTACTTGTATTGCGCTACTCATGTATCATGTAAGAATATCAAGGAGTGAGTGCATTGAACGTACTTCAAAAAAGCGTTCTTTTATTCATGTTTTAAAATGTTAAGTTTAAATATGTTTTGGCCAGTAGTAAACAATCAGCTCGTATTGTGCACATAAAAATTGCAGGAAATATTTCGCGTGCATTGAACGATAAATTAATAATTTAATTATTTTTTTGCTGATAGCTTTTGACTTATAACATTTATTAAAAATAATCTTCTTGCATTCATACCAGAGATTAAATAACTTAAGTGTGACTCATGATCAAATTAAGGATGAGCTGTGAAAATTTCTTGAAGAGGAATATAAATACTAGGGCGGTCCGATAAGTACTTAGCCTACAAAAGAAAAACGCAAATTTTGGAAAAAGTTTTGGAATTATTTCTCAACATAGTCTCCTTTTAGCTCGATACACGTGACCCAGCGATGCTCCAACTTCTTTATCAGATTTATCTTTCTTTTATTTTTGTTTTCTTTTATTTTATTTTGTAATAAACACAACTTGAAAAAATCCGCTGTAAATCTAGTAAACAACTATAAAAATGCGCAACACAGATTTGTTTATGTTAAACAATAATATAAAACGCAAATCTCATTGACCTTCTCTCTAAAAACAGTTCTTGCCTTGATATCTATAGTAGGTCAGTAGAATTCCAACGAGTTGAATTAAATGAAAGGATTGATGTTTGGGTTTCTAACACGGAAGTCTAGACAAACGTGTATTTCTAACATGTACTTATCTCGACCTCGATAAAAATTAGATATCAAAGCAATTATTCCTATCGTTAAAGGTTGATTAGTGTTTGTAAATACTTGTTATCTCAGAAGTTATTGCTATAAAGTGTATAAACATACAATATAAAAATATGACCTCATTAACATAAAAATATTGACATTATGATATATATTTTATTGTTTTTAAAACTTACCATTTTGCTAAAAAAAAAAAAGATTATTTCAAGCCCGTAAATAAAGTTTACAACAATCATTGTTTAACTAACGGTATTTTTGTTCTTGAAGCAATGCTTTCATACTGGCGTTGTATTAATTTTTCTCTATAGTAAAATGAAGACCAGATCGTCACGACACGAAATAGTTCGTGTCGTGAAGAAAACGTCACTACTATTTATACTGGCATTGTATTAATTTTTTAAGGTTAGGTGTTAATAAATTAATTTTAAACTATACTCAAATTTTATTTTTAAACATCTTACTTATTTTAATTACTATTTAACTGGGAATAAGCCACAATTAAAGATAAAAATACGTTTATTGACGTTTCAATTTCCACTTCGGAAATCGTTCTCAAAATACAAACAGTAAATTAAACAAATTTTGTTTTTTATTTTTAAAATGCCACAAGAAAATAGCTTCAGAACAATATCTTATTTATTTTATATATCAAATCATATTTATTTATATTTTATCAATTCGCGTTTTCAAATGACCGTGCTGCCAACTGCTTTTAAAATAAATAACTAAAGAGTTTAAAACTGGAATAAATTTCATCAAATTTTAAAAATAATGAGCTTGCTTGTCCGTTAACTAAGGGTCTTTTAAAATTTCCTATCAAATTTATAATGTCAACAAACGATATTCATATTTCGTCCGCCATCTTTCCAAACAAGTTCTGCCACCTATAGTCGTTTGAGAACACGAACAGTTTAATATTTAGTCTTTGACGGATCTGTCAGAAGTAAACAACGTATGCTTGGCAACAATGCAGACGAAATCTACAGCGTAACTTTTGTTGGTGCCTTAGCACAGAGGTTCCCAAACTTTTTCTCTGGTAGACATCTTGTCATGTTTTTCAATTTTGGATAGTAAGCGTATTTGAGTAAATTAAACAACTGCCTCCATTATGGTAACTTACTTTTCAAAGACAAGTTTAGACAATCGTCCAAACGCTTAAAAAATGAAAGAGGGGAATGAGAATGAAACAGAAATAAAGGGAAAAGTAAACAATTAGTAAATACCGAATTCTTTAGAGGTGATAGTTTGGAAGTTGTTAAACGTCATTAAAATAAAGTACTAAAGGCATGATTTTTGTATAATTTACTTTCAGTGACTACTTCTAATAACTAAAATGTATCTTTTTTGTTTTAGAGGTACAGTTGAAACCCTACCGTACAGATGAGTTTGTACATAGATTGTTCTACGAATCATCAAGATTTTCGGCTTTCAATTACCAGTGGGTGGTCAAAGCGAGGATAAATAATAATCAAAAAGATCCAACTCAGAGTTCAGAAAGAGATATGTCATACCAGGTATGTAAATATTTGTGTGAGACGTGTTCCATTTTTCAGCATTTGTTACCTTTGTTTTTAAATTCTTTTTTATATGTTATAGGGAGATAATGATCTCCAGCAGTTTTACATTTGTTTTAAAATCCCCCTAGTTTTTTCCTTCGTTTTGAGCAGATTAGGATATACCTCAGCATAGATTTCCTTAATTTTATTTGATTTTTCTTATTATATTGTATATCTTTGTTATATTTCTGGTATTGTATACGTTAAGACAAACGCTTATTTAATATATTAAATCTAAATTTGTTTTATTAATTTCATTAATTCTATTTATTCATTATTTTAGTTGATTTTAAAATCGAAATCAAGCAAACCAATAAGCTTGAGTTACATAGTACTAAGAGGACCTGTTGGTGACATAAATGTGAAGCCAAGGATACATGAATTTGAATTCACAGAGCAGAATAACGAGACTCCTTTTGTGAAACTACCCTTGCCAGATACACCTGAATGTAATCGATTATTGGCAGCGACTACCATAAATTTTAGGTAAGTAAACTCCATTAAGTATAGAGATTTGATATATACATACATCCTAATATTTCATGTCCTAAAAATGAAGGAATTTATCATCCCATCCTACACAACATAAATTGGCAGAATATCACAGCGTGTTACATAGATTAATAGAAATTCCTGTGTCAAAAACAACTTTGAGATAGAATTGAATAGCATTAAGCAAATAGCAGTAAAGGTGGGCATAACGAACAAACAATAAACAAAATTCTAAAACAAAAACTACATAAGAAGGCCTCGAAATTAGTATTTGCACCACCAGAGAAAAGACCAGTACCTTCTGATTTTCTGATGAAAAAATACATAAAAAGGAATACCACCAGTTTTCAGAACTAACAACAGTTTTCCAACAAATATATTAAGAACAACAAGAATCAAAAGACAACGCACTTCCAAAGTTGTGTATACAAACTTAAATGTGGCGACTAAAGGTATATTTGTTTTGCCAGGCATTAAATATCGTCAGAAAGAAGGATAGTTTGCGTTTAAGGATGTTGTGGAGAAATTTTTGGGCTACAAGATCCTGATTACAAAAATATAGTCAAAATAATGCTAAAGTCCTTTCAAGAATTGGGTTGTCTCATGGAGCCTAAAGGTAGATTTTCTCTATTCCCATCTGAACATCACAATCACCATTACTGTCATACCGGGTCAAGAAATCAAGAGCTGTGGTACCCACCGAGCGCACATTTTTTATAGCCAAGGTGCTCAGTAACTATTTCATGTAAGAGGGATCGAGAAATTTGTGGAAGAGTCATGCAATGTGGTTAAAGTGAATTGCCGGTTTGTCTGATTTTTTTCATTAACTCCTCCTTCACAAGAGGTGGTCTCCCACTCCGTTCTTCATCGTGCACACTGATTCTTCCTTGATTGAACATAAGGCACCATTTCCTCACTGAAGATTCTTAACATTCTCACAATAAACAGCTTTTATTGGTCTGTACATGTCTATACGGCGAACATTTTGCGCATTCAAAATCCAAATCATATTGCGTACTGCACATTTGGCAAGATTTTTAAAGACTTGGCTAACACTGATGCGGCAGACAGAAGTAACTGGTGCGTACGAAGTCTTGGGGGATTAGCGCCTCGTGTGATGCGCAATCGTTTTTTACTTTCTGGGCGACTCTTGTAATTATTATTACTTTGGTTACAAATTACAAAAACTGATTGTAGTTCGCGATAATGATCGTGACTACGCTTGTATTGTAGGGTGTATCCTAATAATGTTTAAAAAAAAATCGGTTAACATTAACCTGACTGCCAGGTTAAATTTTAACAGGTTACGTTTACGCCACATTTTTTTTTTTTTTTTGGAAATCGATATTTTTTATAATTAAGAAACGTAAGGGAAGGTGGTTAAACATATTTTTGCAAGTTTAGTATCATTTTAAAATTAAATTTTTTAATGGTTTGTGCGCTTATCTGACGCATATATTTATGCAGTTAGGCCGGTACTGAGACATACAGATTAAACGAATTTAAAATGGATCATACAATTTAATATATGTTTGTTTGAACTGCATTTGAAATAGTGGACCAATATAAAACTTGGACAAAAATAAATCCATACCCGTATGTTTAAAAAAGATTAATGTTTTGAAAATATGCCCAAAACGTGTCGAACATGCTAAGCTTAAAAAATTAACGTTACTTTAGTTTTATTAAGTACTAGGTGATCTATTAATAAAGTTTATTCTTTTTTAGGTTGATAATGTTTTCAAAGTAAACGTTTACCTGCACCAAAATTGTGTAAGATATTTTTACACGTTGTTTTAAAGATTAATAATAAATTTTTGTGCTATATAAATCCTAGGGATTTTTCAGTAATTTCTATTTTGTGTTATTTGTGAATGGATCTCTTAGTTACATTAAGTGTAGATTATTTTTATATCCATGACTTATGATATTTGTTTCTTTGTTCTTGTAGAAAATGGTAAGATTCTATTTATCCAGAATATTAAGATTTATATGCTATATATGTCTAATTGTTACCTTAGAATTTAATTTAAATGCCATTATTAATATTCTATAAACTCAAATTATTTTATTTTTACAACTTAGTGACATGTTGGCAATGTTTATGTGTTTTTGATAAAAGATAATATAAATTGTAGCCCAAAAATACAATGATTGATTATCTAATGAGTTAAGGTATCGCCGAAATCAACATCTTCCTCTTTGCATTTATCCTAATGTTTATGAAAGTATTGTTCCTTTTAATAAAGTGTAAAAGCATTAGTCATAAAGATCGGTCGCTACCTAACACGTTTAAGGTATGACAGTTATCATGCTCTTTGCTTTTATCCCTATTCGATGTCCCACAACCCTAATTAAACTTGGCATAAATATGTCTATCTTGACTAATCCCCATTCTTCTTCTTCTAGTGCACTCCATTACTGCAGTGCGTAATGATGGGTATGCATCTTACCAAATATATGAGAGTTTACTTTCAGAATCCAGACAAGTAACATTGTCAATCATCAATATATTTAGCTGTGTTATGGAGTACTTTGTATTTACTGCACAATGAAATACTATGTATTTATTTGCATTTACACAAAGTGACAATGTTAATTGACTGAATTCTGACAGTGAACTCTCATCTATGTGGTAAGATAATTGCGCACCCACACGCACTGAATTTAGGGAAGATTGGCGCATTCATAAATGAATTCTAGTAAATGTTCGTCCATATTTTGGCATATTAGCTTAGTTAAGGCAATTTTAAGCGTTTGGTTGCATTTTGATGGCATATTAATGTCATTAATGTTGTATTTTGATGACATATAAATGTCATTAATGTTGCATTTTGATGACATATAAATGTCACTAATGTTGCATTTTGATGACATATAAATGTCATTGATATTCTGCAACGGATTTGTGAGAAAAACTGTATATTATTGCATTAATGGTTTTAGAATCGTAGGCCTCAACGGATATATTAATTTTCAGGACGTTTTAATATTTTAAAATCAGTTTATTGTGTGCTAATTCAATTCATATACATTTCTGTGGCAAATAATGTCTTTATACTGAAAATCTTTTAATTGTAATACAACAAAATAATATTTGATTATGTATATTTATACTTTATTAATCTGGCTAATAATTGGAATCAATTTCCCATAGTTAACTTGTAGAAAAATTATGGTATTTTCAAATTTGTAAGAATAATAATTTTTCCCAAATAAGCGTTTAAAAATTGTATTTTCAATCTATAAAATTATAGTTGGTTAATTCAAGTAGAAATTGTTTTAAATAATTTGCTTGCAGTTTCTATATTCAATAGGCGGTTCGTCAGATTTAGGGTTCTAATCAATAAAAGGCAAATACGGGATCTTTAACATATTGACTTCAGTTAATAAACAGTTAGCTGATTGTAAATTTGCTTAGTTTTTCCAACTAACAGTATACTAAAACACCCGTAAATTAATTTTTAATCGTCTATAACGATTAAAAAATTTAAATAGATGTCGAAATGAAAACGGACAACCTGTTGTAAATATTCACAATGAGTTTTTAAATTTAAATAACGTAACACATTTTTATATATCAAATTCAACACTAACTCACCAATCCGGTACATAACTATAAATATTATCTAGTCAGCTTAGACATGCTTCAATTTCTGACCAATTTGAAGTGCCTGAAACTCCGTCTGATCACGCATTCCACTATGTTTACGATCAACTTGTCTTGATACATACATAACTTACATTTATTTTAGATTGTCATTGTTGAAAATATGTAGGATATGTAAAACACGATAGTTATGTACAACTTCTACTAAAATAGTTGGAAACTAATTTGCTAATTTAGGTTGAACGGTTTTGCTAATTTAATAAAAATTAAAATACGGTCAACATGTCAACTAAACACATATTTATTTTAAAGTTAAGTTATACTGTTGGCAAACCTTATTTACTGTCACATCATTTGGCACCCTATAACAGAAATAATTATGATATCAGCTCAATTTAGCGGTTGCAAATTTAGGTTGAAAAGCTAGTGATTTGAAGCCATTTATAAGCCAACATCACCAAATGTATTTTTAGTTTTTTTATGTAATTAATATGTAGAATGTTATTTTTTAAGTTGCGAAATGAATTTAAATTATAAGGGTTGGGATAGAAATAAAACCTTCAAAATGTTATCTAGTCTTTTATTTATATAGATGGATCACTTATTTTCCATATATTTAATACTCCCTTTTCTCCTCCCGTTACCAAAATGTTTGTCTGTAAAAAATAAATAAACATTATGATTATACCGCAATTTTAAACACGAAAAAAAAGGTTGTTTTTAGTATGCTCAAATTTTATCTTGCTTAAATTATAATTTGCAATACTTTGCACCATACACAAAAAAGGAGATATCTTTGAATGCTCCAACCACAGAAGACTTATAAAATATTTTCCGACGATTGGAGAGAAATTCTTTATTTTTTATGTATTTATAATACTTGAGAACCTTTTTATAGTTGTACATTTTGGATAAAAATGTCAAGTTATAGCTTAAAAATAGACTTTTGAACTTATACATAGATGAAAGATAAAAAGATACTTTACTCATCAAGAGCAATTTTGGTCCTACATGGTAGGGCGCAATGAGCCTGAGAAGTAACTTCTACAACGACAGCATTTTTGTTTTTACTGAAAGAAACTACATATATTATTAAATATTTATAAGTTTTAAAAACGCTAAAAGAGCAGTCTTCTTCTTTAAGTTCCATCTTCTATCGAAGATTGAACATCATCATGGCTATGCAGACCTTGTTGACTGCCGCTCTAAATAGTTCTGCACTACTGCATTCAAACAATTCTCTCTAATTCTTGAGCCACGATATTCTTCGTCTTCCCACATTTCGCTTTCCTCGAATTTTGCCTTGCATAATAAGCTGCAATAATGAGTACCTCTGCCCTGTCATAACATGGCCTAAGTACTCAAGTTTTCTTCTTTTGATGGTAAATATTATTTTAGCTTCATTTCCTATTGTTCTAGTAACTTCTGCGTTTGACATTCTTTGAGCCCATGATATTCATATTATTCTTTTGTAACACCAAAATTCAAAGGCGGCCAACTTATTTAGATGCACTTGTTTTAATCTCCATGCTTCCAAGCCATAAAAGAGAGTAGTGAATAAGTAAAATTAATGCATTCTTAGGTGTAGTCCTAACCTTATATCCCGACAATAAAGAAACTTTTAAGTTTAACTAATAACGCACATGCTATTTCAATACGTGTCTTAATTTCTTTGGTTTGGTCTACATTTGATGTTATTCATGTTCCTAAGTATTTGTAGATATCCACACTCTCAATTAAAGTATCCTCAACAATCAATTGGACGTTTGCATTTGTTGATTTAGTCATGATCATGCATTTAGTTTTTTTTCAAATTCATCCTTAGTCTGTATTCATGACGGCATTCATTTAGCTGTTGCATTACGTTCTGTAAATCATTGTTGTTATCCGTCAGTATTACTGTATCGTCTGCAAATCGCAAGTTATTCAAAACTTCTCCATTGATAGATATAACTTCTAATGAATCTGAGAGCGCTTCTTTAAATACCGCTTCACTGTAGACATTGAAGAGTAGTGGTAACAGCATGCAACCCTGGCGGACTCCTCTCTGTATTTTGATATCTCGGGTGTTAAAAGAGCAGTAAGTAATCAATCAATTAAATTCAGTCAAGAATATAATATTGTCACGTAACATGTTTATGAGAATCACTATAGATATGTTAAAGAATGAAGGAAATACTGTTTTCAATACACTCCACCTGCTAAATAAAACATTACGATAAAAGACGAACGTCAAAGACTGCAATGAGCAGTAATGAAAAAGCAAATGAATATAGCATCCCGATATATGCAGCTTTTGTAGACTAAGAAAGACTAAAGAGCACTATACTAAACTACTCTACACTAAAGTGTAGACTACAGATATACTGACTGAACTTATTGACAGCATAATATATACCAGAAAGCAAAAACATGAATTAAGTTTAGTTTAAACACAGGCCCAATAGCACTGAATATAGGAATTGGACAAGGGGATAGAATACTACCAAAGCTGTTTAACCAAGCCTTGTGTTCAAGAAACTAAATTGGCAAGAGAAATGAATAAGAATAATTGAAGAATATCTTAACCATCAACAACACGCCGATGATGTCTTCCTGGTAGAAAGTGGCGAAGAGGAATTAAAGAATATGCTTTTGGAACTAGATACAAAAGCACGAAAGGTCGGCATAAGAATAAACTATGAGAAAACAAAAATTATGACAAATTATACAAAGAAATTTAGACTGGAGATAACATGTCGAACAATATTAACATAGACAGCATTTGGAAAGCTGGCTTTCATTCCATCCACCCATCCAGCTCAATTTGAACTCTGGCCTCTTTCATCAACCGCTACATTCATTATGGTCTGTAGCCTTCTCCTCCACAATCGACAGCCAAGGAGATTTATTGCGCCCTCAAACAAAATTAATCTGCATAATAGAAATGGAACTTTTTTAATGAAAATTAATGAGTATACATTCCCATTATTTATGATTATTCTTCTTTTATTCTTCTTTAAAGAAGTCTGCAGCAGTAAATTTATTTGAGATATTAATACTGAGGGGAGAAATTGTTGTGTTGTATATTTCCGACAATGAATCTGTCAAAATATTGTGAAGCTGATCGAACAGACTATATTTAAGCGATTATTTAATTGGCTGTGGATAACTTGAACCATATTCTCCTAAACATGTACTAATTTTAGATTGATTCGTAGACATACTCTTCAATGAATGCCCTACAATTTGTAAGTTTAAAAATCCAGTTGCAGCTTAACAAAAAAGGAATTTAACACGAGCACTTTTTACGCTAGATTGTCTTTTATATAATGTTGAGGTAGACATAGGAAACACAAACTAAACAGATTTATACTAAATAACATATATTGAATAAAAGGAAAATTTGTATATATGTACTGAAATAATACTTACATGTTCATTGAATGCACTATCCCTAACTTTCTGTTGATTATTCTTGAATTCTAAGTAAGGTTCCAATCCTTTTTTCTGAAGTGATAATGCCCTTAGATATTCTTTAGTTTTATACTGGGAGCCTCCCAAAATGAATTGACTATTTTTTAATTGGTGGAATTTGGCTAAATAAAAGTCATCGTCATGCTCACTCTGCAAAAACATTTATTTTAATCATCAGCCCTTAATGTTATAATTAACGTGATTTAAAAAAAAACGTGCTAGTAAAAGACAGTAAAAAACGATTTATCAAATCTGAAAATAGTTCTTTAAATAACCAAGCAGAATCCCTGAATAGCTCACATGAATATGATGCCGACCTTGATGCTTCAATAACAGAATTCAAAGAACTGGATAGAAATGCAGTCATTGATGACTATTTCTTGTAAAGTTCGCAAGTAAAAAGTCAGTAAAATATTTTGTTGGCAAAATTTTCACTAATCTTTTCGATTATTTGGAATACGATATCAATTTTCTGAGGAGAAAAAATAAATAGAACAAGTTCTTTTATCCAAACGTTCCTAAACTTGCTAGTGTTTTATCGCAATACATAATGATGATTTTACCTGTACCGGTGTTATATGGAAAAACAGAGGCAAAATAATTGTAGTCAGTTTGAAGTGAACTTTGGCATACTACATATTCAATGAATGATGTCTCGTTGTGGACCACTGAGTGTTTCAGTGTGGATCACTGTGGGATACAGTGAGACACTTTGCAATGTCAAAAATAATTATATTTTACACTATTTTCGTAAAATAAAGGCCAATTTACAGGAGTATTTGTTTATTTTCAATATATATAAAAAAGTGGTGAAAAAATTTCGAATGTCTAAAAAGCATCTCACAGTAGACCTTTCTCCCCTACGTCTTAAGGAAGAAAATAAGCCTGGGATTACTGAGATCCATTCAGTCAAAGTATCTGGACCAGCCTTAGAAATTAGATAATTTTTCAAAATTTTCTTATACACTAATTAAATTTTGTAAGAACTATAAAACCGATCTAACCCATCTTTTACACATAATTCAAACACGATAAGACTCTCAACTTCAGATACATTTAAATAAATTTATAAATAATAAAAAAGTTATTCAAAAACAGCTATTTTGTTTTCATTTATTGTCAGTTTTCTCTGTCGCACTGAGTAAATGAGCCTGTATTGCAGCAGTCAGTCTATTTTTATTATGTGTCTATGTAAAATATAGTTAACATTAAACATAACCTTAATTACTAATTATGATTAACGTAACCAAATTAAAGATGTAAATGTGAGTAACGGATTTGAATTCTTACTATATAAAAAAATGTAGCTCATAATTATTGTGTCTTACCATCATCTTAGCTATTAAGTCTTCCCTACTATATGATTGATACGGTTCACCTTTGTCCAAATCCCATAGCTGCAGATCAGATGTATGAGTGATACAGCTAATACAGTCTTTGTTATTTTTGGTAAACCACTGTAATTCATTTACAGAAGATTCAGTATTAAGGGTATCTATTAATGCATCATCTTCTGAAGTCTGGGACAAATCATATAAATTTATGAGACCATCAGTTGATCCAGATAGTAATTTATTCATATCATCTGGATGGAAACGAACCTAAAATACAAAGTATGTTTAGTATAGTGAGTAAAAATTTTGTATAGTGAGATATCAAGACATGATTTTATTTTCTTTATAAATATTATATTACATTGTTAATTTTTTAGGACTATTGGATTTGAAGTACAGCAAGAATTATCTTATTCGATATATTATTTAAATATCGTCACCTTCGTGGGGAAACTAGATTTTTTTTAGTTTTCGCTTATGAATTATGAGACTATCTAAATAAACTCCATGGTAGTGCTACCGGTTAACGATATGAATAGTTAAAAATAAAAATCAATAATTCATCTTTCACATATATTTCTTTTGCTTATATCCCACAGCTTTCTGGATGTTGCTAATTCTTTGCTTCACAGTGGCAATGACTAAAAAGTATGTCTTGGAAGGAGGAAGTATCTCTTTGAAATTAGTACCTGATCAATCGGATTGCGATCAGTACTATCTGGGATTTTCCAAGTCTGTTTTGGATCCGTATATGAGCAAAATATATGCTGCTGATTATAAGATTTTGAGGGGTATATCACTATATGAATCATAACATGTGAGCCTTATGTACAGAGTCTTTTACATAAACCACACACTAGACTTAACTCTAAAACTTAGTATGGTAAATGAGCATAGAAGCTGGTAGTTTAAGCTTTATGTACAGCGATTTTATTTTTATTTATTTATTCATTGTGCATGGTGTTGAGAAACCAAATAAAAAATCGATCACCCCTGTATGCAAAGCTCAAGATGAGCTTACTTAACAGCAAAGATGCTAAGATGGTCAAAATGTAGAGCTTCTTATTTATCTGGGATTTGGTGGGAAGGTGCAGAAATTATTGGAGTGTAATTCTTGCTGAGATAGGAAAGTCTGTTGTTTATGGCTGGAATGTTTGTCAGACAATGGATTTTCACTGAGGGGAATCATCAAAATATTAAAGTCACATTTTCGGTTTTGGTGGATATGATTACAGTACTCAAGGGCTTTCTTGAACACATCAGCAATAAAAGGGGAAAGTATAAATGTGTGTGTATTAATTTACCTGAGTAACGTCATCAGTGTGCGATTCCCAATATCCTCCTAACAGCTTTTTATTTCTTATATCCCAAAATAATACAAAAGCATCTCCTCCAAGTACATCTGTTCCAGCGGCTAGAAGCCTGTCATTGGCTGATACATCAAAACAGTTAAAGGTTTTCCTCTCATCACCTTCTGCTGTTGTATCTATAAAATAAATTTACCTGTTTATAAAGTTTTGTTAAAATCCACAAGACACTAACATGATTAAAAAATTACCTGTAAATTCAACTGCAACATTTTCTGGTGTTCTTAAATCTATTATTTTTATAACCCCATCACTATTACCAATATACAACAGATGTTTCTCTCTACCACTGAACTTGCAGCCAATTAATTTGCTTTTCTCCTTTTTACTTTCCCAAATAGTCGCTAGTTGGTTATTATCTAGACTGTACACCAAACAACTTTTATTTGCTGTAGTTACAGCAATGTTGGGGTTGTTGTCTCTAAAAAATATGTTAAATAGTTAAAGGGATAAAATAATTATTTAATGTAATACTTTGTGGCATCAATATTAAATATATAATCACTTGTTACAAGAACTTCACTTAAATAATTACATTCACAAAATAGTTCACTATTACATAGATTATTATGGTCATTTATATCCTTGTCGTTACTCATTTTTGTAATTAAATTTTCAATTTTAAGCTAACTTTCACTCCATTTAAAAATACACGTGTGTATTAATTGAGGTTATGTGTTGATGTATTGTTACAATTTGTTATGACAGTTTAGTAAGAGGATGCGTTAATTTATGTGTCAAAAAGCATTTTTTTGTTTGTTTATTTTTAATTCCATCGATTTTCTTCTCTTGATCTCTGTTTAGTTTCTGCTGATCATGTCATCCAGTCATCCTCCTAGTGGTTAGAATGCAGTTAGAACGAAAATTTAGATTAACTGATAGAATTTTTTTAGCGCTCTTTTTGGCAACTATTTTTATTTATTTCTATAACATTGATTAGAATTAAAGTATATAACAGACAAAATTTAAAATTACTGGAGCCTTTTAGTCGAAATCAAACTTTATAACATCTAGTTCAGCCAACTATTTGTAGGATTTATCAGGGATTTCAATCCGTTCTTTTAACTAAGTTATCTTTCATTTCTCTATCAGCAGTTATAACAGAGATATGGAGTTATAACCTAATGTTACTTTTCCATACATAGATACCACAATTTGTATCCTTCACATATTTCTTTCGCCTTTTGTCATTTTTACCTTCCAAGAACCTGTCCTGATTTTTCTAACCTGTAAGGGTTCCCCCCATCGAGCAAAAAGATAAAAGAGGGAATCTAATCGTTATAAAAAGGAGACCAAAAAAGTGGCCTCTGATGGCGGACACATCCGGAAATGCAAAGGCGCTAAATTTAAATTTTGCAACACTTATTAACAATAGCTATAAAATATTTTTCAGACGAGAAAGTTTTAATTAAATATTAACTATAATAGTCTAAAAAGTGACACAATTGGTAAAAGATTTCAATATAAATAAAATTTCATGTGACAGTTGGGACAAACAATAACATAACCTAACTAAATTTGACTTCTTAAACAAGGAAAGAGACTGTCTATCCTTGTCTAAAGTGGCCTCTCAAGATGGCACTTCCTGTCTATCAATATGTTTACCCCCACTACCTTTACATTCCCTCTTTTGTCTTATTGCTCGATGGTTCCCCCACAAAAGTCCTCACACGGATATCCGAATAGAAGCTCAGTTGGCTTCTGGAACACTTTACCAAAGAATATAGAAGCATATTATATTAATGTTACCTTAGGCCATCATTTCAGTATAATTTTTGTTACATTGGAAAAGGTTATTTATTATTATAGCCCGAAAATTGTTTGGATATTGATGCACCAAAGTGAAATGTTTTTTAAAACATGCAAGGATCAAAAACTCCCATAGAACCTCCCTCAATGCTGAAAGTAAGGGATGTAATTAAATGTCTCAATATATACAGACGAATCAGCGACACTTTTGCAGATTTCTTCAAACATAATGATAAAATATATAAAATAAGAATCAGTCTGAAACGAAGAGAAGTTTTAAGAAAAATTGTGTAATGTAATTATCTGACCACTACATTAGAAAAGAGATCTATATACCTATTAGTGGTTTTAGACCAGATAGATGAAAATTACGTGAAGCCATACCAAGCTCAGAGGTAAATGTAAACTTTACCAAGGATGAAAATCATCTACTGATATTCGTATCCATACAAAAGATCTTAGTCACCTGTCAAGAACGAATAAAAACTATCCAATTAGACGAACTCATTATCGCTTGCTGTGTAAAATAACAGTAGGTTAAGGTACACAGGATAAATGAGAACGAGGAAGATTGGTGCTACAAATTGGCACAGGTGGGCAATAAACATAGCTAAAACTGATCACTTTTTTGGGGAAGCCTTTTATTGTTATAATCAGTCGTACTGCGGCTAATTGGATTATACTTCTGGCTTAAGTTTTTAATGCTAATGACTACTTACGTTACCGGGACCGACGGATTTACGCAATGGCGGCTCAAGATCATAATTTTATGTGGGAAAGAGACCTTTTGCGGTGCCGGTTCGGTATGCGGTCTACCATCGAATATGCGATCTACGGCAGTTTAGCTGATTCGGAATGCGGTCTACGTTTTCCTTCAATAGGTAAAAAACAAATTAGAGAAACTATTAAAAACTCATTACTGGCCAATTAGGAATGCAAAAACAAATTAGGGAAATTATGACAAACTCGAACAAATTAGAGAAAGTATTACAAACTCATTACTGGTCAATTAGGAATGCAAAAACAAATTAGGGAAATTATGATAACTGGTGAATTACGTTGTGCTAATATCAAAACTTTTAATAACCTATTTTGGGATAAAATGAGCCCCAAAACGAAGATTGATTTAGTTGCAAATAAAATATTGCTAAGAGTTTTATAAAACTGTCATTTCGAGCAAAGCGGCAGTAGCATTTCTACGAGCGAACGGTTTATTACAAAATGTTAAAGGGGATGGTGAATACAGACCAGTTCTCCGCTGCCCAAGGAGAGGATGCCAGACAACAAGATCAGTTAGGCATGGTAACCGTTTTTTTTTCATTTCACCGACTTATATGGAAAAAGTAACTGCAAGTTAACTCTATGTGAAATTTTGGAATTGATGTTCATTTTGGAATTCGATTTTGACACAGTAGTGAAATTAACGGGGAGAGGAAGAGTGTCGAAAAGTCTGTTCCTCTGTGATGTTGGTGAATCGCCGTGGACAGCTTCGAGGTACGGAAGAAGAGCAATCCAAATTGACGATGCCAAATTTGCAGGCAGAAGGAAGTACAACAGAGAACAAATATCAAATGGAGACCATCCAGCAGAATCAGAAGACAGCAATGCTGAAGCGGAAAATAATCGGAATCATGTACGCCGAATTGACGGCCCACGCGTGGGTCTTCGGATTAAAGAGGGGGTCCGATATTTTCATGTTGAGCGAAGAGACAGAGTCACCCTAGTTCCCATCATACAAAGGGAAGTTAAAGCTGGGTCAGTGATTCACTAGGACGAATGGCCAGCTCACGGCAATTTGCACCTATTGAGCTACGTTCACTCAACCGTACTCTTTTGTTTTTAAATTCGTTCGGCACATCATAAAAGCTTCTGTCAATAAATTGTTGAGACGACGCAAGCACTTTTTTGACACCTTCATGGCTTAGGTTTAAGTAATACATAAATTTCCATGGCGCGAGACCCCTCGAACCTCGAATTTGTGGCCCACGCCTTACAACGCCTCTGGATTTACGTGCCCTCCGAAGCATCACTGCGGCTTTTAATTTATAAATTGAGATCAAGCCAGCTTTAAGCCAGGTGGGTACCTAGCCACTGAGCTAGTGCAGCCACCATAATGACTGATCATGACAATGGATTTCTATTCACACAAACTAACAAATTAACTTGCTTAAAATGTGAGGTTATAAATAAGAAAACGCTTCTTTATTAAATACTTGTTTACTATTATTAATAAATTACTATTATTACAATAAATGATAACAATTTACAATATTTTGGACGTTTGAATTTGTTGGCTACTCCAAAATTATGAAATCATAACAATACTTAATTTTATACTATTTTTACATGCAAATATAAAAATAGATCATTACAAAGTTTACTTATGAATCATAACATTGTGATCAAACTGTTCCCAAAGAATTGGATCTATTCATATAAAAGTAATTCATCAAGACTTTTATATTCAAACAAATATTTAAATGATGTATTGTAGATGACATTTAAATTTGGTAAATTATTGGAATACTTAACATACTTTTTAACCCATTTTTTGCAACAAAAATAAACAAAAAAATTGCCACGATTTTGTATGTTTTAGATATAATTAGGACAATGAATGTTTACATCATTTCAATTCATTAATATACCTATTATTTAAATTATATGAAATATGTGAAGAATAAAACAACGTCTATTTTGAAATTTTAAATGATATTGCTTCATGCATGGCTAAGATATGTTTAACGTAAATAATAATAAGAGCGTACAATATCAAGATTTCTATTAATAATTATAAATTCTCATTTTAATAAAGTAGAAAAACATAAAACAAACACCATTTTTAATACCAATGTCACAGAATAAATAACAATCAGAATGCCCACTCTCAGATACCGCCTTTGAAGTTTGTCATCACGCCAACGCCATGTTTTAGACGGAAACATAGACTAGAATTGAGAAATTTGGGACATGCTATGACAGAAGTTTTTTTTTGTGTTTTGGCTTGGACAATTGTCATTCAGCCAGTCTCAATTAAGATAAGTCTATTAATGTAGTGTGTGTGTGTGTAGAGTAATTGTCTTGATACTTAGCAAAGTCGACGTCATTGTCTTTGCTAAGAGACGCTAATTGTATCCGAACGTCTGCGGTCCCTCCGGTGAGTACCGATCACACAAGGATAGAAATTATTGTCATTTATTAATTTTTTTTTAATAAACGAAAATTTCCACCCAGGTGAGATTCGAACTCACGACCTCTAGGTTTAAAGGTAGGCGCTAATTTTAGAGATTAACAATTTAGTAAATTTGAAATAATTTAATATATTCTTCAACTCAAAGTACGAATAAAATATTGCATAATATGTCTATAGTTGCCGTAAATAATTTAAGCCGGGTTAATTTTTCTATGCACACGAGATAAAATGTCACTGAGCAACACCACTGGTTCCGTTTAAAACGTGGCTGATTCCGTCTGCGCGTACTTTTGACAAGCAGAGTGGATATTCTGATCTGTTTACAACAACAGAGCTGCGTGTGAGCTGCGACAGGGAGATACGCTGGCGTGTCTCCTTTTCAACATAGCTCTGGAAAAGGCGGTCAGGGATGCCCAAATAGATAACAGAGGAAACATTTTTGATAAATCATCCCAAATTTTGGCATATGCAGATGATGTTGACGTAGTTGCCCGCACAACACGCAAGCTTAAAGAAATGTATACCACATTGTCAAATGCCTTAAAAAATATGGGCCTGCAAGTAAATGAGGAGAAAACTAAAAAGTACATAAATACAGCTATACAAACAGCAGCAAAGAAACATCTTACAAAAACAACAAAAAAGAATAAGGGGTGGATGACACAAGATATACTAGACTTAATGGAACAAAGAAGAAAGATGAAGAATTACCCAGACTATCTATCAAAAGTTAGATATCGATATTAACGATACACAGATGGGATTCAGAAAAGGATTAGGTACAAGAGAAGCTCTTTTTGACTTAAATGTCCTAACACAGAGATGTCTAGATGTTAACCAAGAGGTGCATGCCTGCTTTATAGACTTTGAAAAGGCCTTTGACAAAGTACGCTACAATCAACTCAAAGAAATCCTGGAAGGTAAGAACATCGACACCAGAGACATGCAAATAATATTAAATCTGTACTGGAATCAGCGAGCTAATATAAAGGTAGAAAACCAAACATCGGACGAAATAGAAATACGTAAAGGAGTACCACAGAGTTGTATATTGTCACCGCTTTTGTTTAATATCTACAGCGAACAAATATGCCAAGAAGCTCTCTCACATGCAAACAAAGGGATAGTAGTCAATGGAGAAGTTATCAATAACATTCGATATGCTGACGATACTGTGATAATGGCAAGAACAGTCGAAGATCTACAACATCTAGTTGAAAGTATGAATGATATATGTAATAACTACGGCATAAAGATCAAGGTCAAAAAAACCAAATATATGACCTTCAGTAAGAATCCAATTCATGACACCAGTATCACAATAAACGGTACCCAACTTGAGAAAGTAAGCGAATACAAATACACCCTTGTGGGTGTATTTGTACACCCACATTAATGGAACCCTCATTAATGAAACAGGTGACCAAAATCACGAGATAAAAAGACGTATTGAAATGGCCAGGTCTACCTTTATAAAAATGAAAAAATTATTTTGTAATCGTGATATTATTATTCATCTATGAACTAGAATGTTAAAATGCTATGTATTCAGTACTTTGCTTTACAGTGTTGAGGAATAGACTCTCAAACAGAGGAATATTAAAAATCTTAAAAGCTTTGAGATGTGGTGCTACCGCAGTATACTAAGTATAAGTTGGGTGGATAGAATTACAAATGAAGAGGTAATACGCAGAATAAATAACGATCCAGAAGTTATTATGAATATAAAAAAGAGAAAACTTGAATACTTAGACCACCTGATGAGAGGACAAAAGTACACATTCCTACAAAATATAATGCAAGGAAAGATCCAAGGACGCAGAAATCCAGGCCGTAGAAGAATGTCCTGGATGAGAAATTTAAGAGAGTGGTTTGGCTGTACCACTAACGAATTATTCAAAACAGCAGTTAATAAAATTAGAATCGCCATAATGATATCCAATCTCCTATAGGAGAGGCACTCAAAGAAGGAGAGAAACTCTTGAGGAGGCTAGGACCCACGCAGGGTTGTAAAGCCAAAATGATGATGAATATGACCCGGAATTTTTTTCTCTATATATTCTTTAGGTTGGAACTGATGTTTGATGATCGGTTTGTGTGCTTCAGTCTCAAAATAGGCCAAGAAGTTTTTATTGATGTCATTTGAGTGTTGATATTATAGTTCCAGTCCATATAGCACGTAGAGGTCTCAGTATAGCTTATAGTTGTCATTCTCAAGTTTACTCTCAGAAACATATTGATAACATGGGAGATGGTTTGTTTGGAGAAGTCCCATGTTTACAAGATATCTCTTGATGAAGGATCTTCCTTACTGAGTCATGCCATTCATTATATTCAGTTGCAGCAAATGCCTGACAGCCCCCAGTAAGATGTTGGATTACTCAGCTAAGTGGCCTGATTGAACATCCATTGCGTTTGCATTCCGCCGCCTTCCTTCTTTATCTATAACTGTGTTATAATTTTTCCAATTTTAGTTTCTCCGACAAAAGAACCTGCACAAATGTGTGACTGAGCTATCATTTGGAGCATACACTTTGATTTAAGCTTCAAAACATTTCCTTTCACCTTAAATCAAATTGAACTTATTTATCTTTGATTAATAAATGTTTATATAATTTCAGAAACATTTTCTTTTTATAATAGACTTTCTCAAATTTAAATCTTTTGTTGTAAGTACTGGTTTCTGTTATATTATGTAAGATTTTTAATTAATTTAAAAATTTTATTAATCTTGGAACTAAAATGTTGAATATGAGACTAAACTTAAAGAAAATTATTATCTAAGGAAAATGCAGGCAAAAAGACCTACCAAAGTGACTCATCCAAAATAGTACCACAAAAAAAGTATAGCTAAAAAGTGTTACCTATTCATAAAAACTAATTAACTTTTTCTTCCTTAACCTGAACAGCTGTATTGTCAGGTTTGAAATGTTTGAGCTTTATATGCGATCTTAAAGAATTTTTAGTTGCAAAAAGTTTTTTGCAAAAGCAACACTCAAAAGTTTTTTCCTTAGTGTGTGTGTAGAGGTGATTCTTTAATGAGAAAGCAGAGGTAAAATATCTGTTACATATTTTGCACTCAAACTTCTTACTTGATTTACCATGCACATAACGATGTCTCAAATACATGTCTTTAGATGATATACATTTACCACACTGTGGACAGAGGACTGAACCACGTTTTTCAAAGTGGGAATCTAGATGCTTCTTTCTTAGGGAATTGCTTTCAAAATCTAAAAATATAAATACATATTTAAATAATTCAGTTTCAAAATAAATAATTTTTTATAATAAGACATATAACATACATATCTAGAGTTCCACAAGTTTGACTTTAAGTATTTTATAAAAATTCATATTAATCAAATCACAAACTAGTACATATGAGAAACAGTGGCTTCCAGTAAAAAACTGGGCAAATCAAATGATCAGAACTGGGCAAATTGAATGAAACAGAAAACTACCATTCTGTAGCGCTACTTAGCAAGGTATATAATATATCAAAGATTTTCCTCAAAAGACAGAACACTTGAAAATTTTGTTTAACATGCCTTTGACTCCTACCAAAACTGCACAGACAAATTTTATCACTATGTTCATAGCAGTTGGGTTTCAAAAGAACCAAAAACAGCTGCAGCATTCATAGATCTAATAGCAGCCTACAATACTCTCTGCAGACAACAATATTACCCCCTACACAAGGATAATCTATATCATTAACATTATGCTACCAAACAGAACTTCCATATAATGAAAAATACTAAAGGCAGACAAATGAAACTTAATAATTAGGGCCGTCCTTAGGGTTCAATGCTTGTTGCTTTACTTCTCTGTCCCTACACTGCTACTATGCCTGAAACCAAAGTCATACATTTAGATACACTGACTATTGGGGCTTTGCAAAAAGCCACATATTTTTACCATCGAAAAGTAAAAAAAGCCACTGAAAATACTCTCAAGAATTATATATCGGCTCTCATTAAATGCTTTAAGAAATGAAAAACTCCATTATTTACTTTTTATCTATATAGATAGCAAAGACCAATAACTGTATCTGGATAAGAGGCAATTGAAGCACTGTAAATAACAGAAATATCTTGAGTAGACAGAATGTTTAAATTCGGAGAACACCACAAAAATATCAAAACAAAACTAAGAACATACATATGTAAAACATAATACAGAAACTCTGCAATACCCTTACCACATGTGGGTGACATACCAGTTAGCATTTGAAAACTGTATTGTAATTGACCCTGTAAACCTAATTCAAGTTGACACTATTTTAGTGTTTGATGAATTAAGAAAACTTCCAAACAAATTCTCCTCGGGCCTGATGGAATCCCACCGGTATTATTAAAGCACTGTCTATGCTCTCTTACTATGCCCCTAAAATATCTTTATAATTTATCTCTTATGAATGGTCCCTTATGGACCCTTCTTTCTAGAAGAATAGTTATATTGTACCCATTTTTAATTCATGTAAAAGGAAGATATTAATAAATACCGAGGAATTTGTATACAGTCAGCAATCCCAAAACTTCTCAACAAGCTAGTGACTTCTCATTTATCAAAACTAACAAATAATATAATAATACCCAAACAGCATGGCTTTCAAAGGATAGGAGCACAGTGTCAAACTTGTTGGTCTACCAAGATGATATATTGGGTGCCTTTCGATAAGGCATTCGATAAAGTCATTGTTATTTAATCAGTAATAGGAGCCATTGGTATAGCTGGCAAATGGCTTGATTGGTATGATAGTTTTCTTGTGGGTAACACCCAGAGCATTAAGATAAATGGTGTGTTGTCTCAATCTGTTGACATCCTCTCTGGAGTACCACAGGGGTCACATTGTGGTCCTCAACTGTTTGTCCTCTTTGTTAATGATGTTGAGAAAGTCATTAAGTATATAAAATTTAAATTTATAATTTATAATTTATAATTTATAATAAAAAAAATTATAAAGTAGTTACTTGTCAGTATGATCAAATTCAGCTACAAGAGGATCTCAGCAGATTTAGAGATTGGTGCAAACTAAATGAATTAAAATTGAACATTGATAAGTGTTGTGTTATTACTTTTCACAGGAAGCAAACAATTTTAAATTACGATTATAGCATTGATAATACTCAGCTATCTAGGCAGGACTGTGTTAAGGATTTAGGTGTTTATTTTGATTGTAAATTAGCATTTGGTAAGCATCTAGAGGTCACAGTAAACAGTGCATTTAAACAATTAGGGTTTATTACTAAAAACACTTCTCAATTTTCATGTTTTGTTTTACCAATTCTTTTTAATAGTCTCATTCGTTCTACACTAGAATATGCAATAGTTGTATGGGGACCTTACTATCAAACATCTATAGACAAGCTTGATTGTATTCAGCATAAATTTGGTAAACACTATCATTCTTTTTCTTTGCGTGCCATATCAGAACTATCCAATGTTGGCGATCACCATTGCAAAGGCTTCTCGATCTTCTGCAATATGGAATAATTGTCCTGCATTTGGTATCTGAGTCCATTCACGAATATTTTTTAACCAAGAAACTTGTTTTCTTCCTATACCTCTACGGCCCTCTATTTTGCCTTTAAGGATCAGTTGTAAAATTTTATATCGACTTCCCCTTACTATATGTCCCAAACACTATCATTACTGTAGTGCTTTTCATGATCTCTCTGTCCCATACAGTTATAGTATGATAGCTGATTACTTGAAAATGGTTTCTATGATGGCGAAAAGATTATTTTTGTCTAATATTCCTTTACAAAATTGCTAATAATTCGATAAATTGCCCTGAACTTTTAAATCGATTAGGTCTTAACACTCTCCATGGAACTAGGCATACTTGGTACTTTCATCTACCATTTCCACCAATTTAATTATGAATACTTCAAGCCTCTTACTCATATGGTGAGACTATATAATAGGTACCAAAGTGATCTGGACTTATTTTCCAGTCCTTAGAACAATTTAAAAATGTGATAAAGAGACTGCTATTTGTGTGATATTAGTTTGTACTCAAGTTAATTATCAGTTTTTGTTAAACTTTACTAATTATTTTCGAATGTTATCCTTACTTTGAAAAATTTTATACATTATATGTATTACAATATAAATGATATATCCGTTAATAAATAAATAATAATAATAATACATGAGTGAAGCCACTAAATCTATGGGTATAACCCTTTAAATGTTATTAAATTTGTTATATATTACATCATTGCAGATAAATTTATATGATGTAAAAGTTTTGTAAAAAGTTGTAACATATTTACTTCATGTCACTGTAAAAACCCCTGAAAAATTATCTCTATATGGACCTTAAGTAGCAACAAAATTTCATTTATTACAAGTTTTGAATCATTTGATACTTTTGTGGGTACTTTACTTTTCATTAACTATATTTAGTTATGGATATGGGCATGCTAAGTCAAATCTCAACCTAGTTTCCAGCGAGTGATTTTTTTAACCACTTCTGCTTATTTTTAACAACAAAGTATTATGAGCATGACCAATAACTATTACATGATTTATATTACCCGGAATATCTGCTATATCTTAATCAAGTATTTTCTGTATACTAGTGTTCACATCTTCCCTACATCTCAGTTAATTAATGATGTAAAGGGCATTTAAGAACAAGGAACTCCAAGGCAAAAAATAATGAAGAACAGTAACTACAACATGAAGCAAGAAGATAAGAACCTGGAGAGAATCACCTGGAGAAATTAGAATTCAGAAAATTTATTGAAAACACGAAATGAACCAGAAAGAGCCAGAAAAAAATTAAACAAGCCAAAATTAATAGAAAATAAAAATATATTATACCTTTACCACACAACTCGCACACAGCAGAGGGAACATTTTCACTTGCTTGCTCCTCTTCTAGTTCATTTTCCTGTGAATGAGATACTAAATGAAGTTGGAATTTTCCTACAGTAGGAAAAGTTTGTTGGCATTCAATGCACCTGAAAATCTTTTTAGTTCTACAGTCATAACTTTGAGTCATATGCTTCATTAAATCAAATCTCGATCTGAAAACTTCATCACAAACTCTACAAGCATGAACAGAACGACATTTTGATAAAAATTCCTCAGTGGCATCAAAATCCTCTGTTTTAAATGTATTCGTAAGTATTAAATTCAGGCCTTCAAATGTATTGCTTTTATTTGAACTGGTAGTTTCCTCTTCATTTTCCATATTTTCACATAAATAGTTGTGTTTATAAAATTACAAAATTAGTTTTTTCTGTAAAATTAGAAATATGTCGGAAACTTGACATCAATGCTGATTTTATTAATTTTGACTTTTGACATTTCATTTTGGTTTGAATAGAAATTAGAAGGAGCACCAACATAAAAATAACTAACTTCTAAGATGGAACCTTAGACAAGGAAAGAAACGTATTGAATTAAATTTTTAATATATGTTATTGGACGGACAGCAAAAAGTAGCAAAAACAAAGTTTTTTTATCCTGTTATCGAAATATCATAGGTGGAAGCGCTTGAACTGAAGGTGTGTTTCCTTGTCTTAAGGGCGAAAGTGTCACAGCACATTTCCAACTATCAGTGCCAGTCCCGTGTTAAAAAGTAAAATGTCGATTGGCGCATCGCCTAGTGCCAGGGTGCCTAACTATATATATATATATACTTCATCTAATTTATAAATGTACTATAACTATAATTTATATTGTACTTACCAATACACGTCATTATCATTGACAGAGATCGAAGTTGACAATATAAAAAAATCCTGACTCCATTTTAAATCAAATAGGTCACATAATTATTGCAAAAGTATTACCATCTGTTTACAATGACTATTTAAATTCTTACGTGACATTTTTGAAACAAAACACACTAATTTTATTCTAAAAGGCACAGATTTGATTAAATAGGTAAAAATATGAAACAAGAGGTATTCACTTTAAAATTCAAAATAATAAAGCACAAAAAGTGTCAACACCGCAACTGTCAAATAAGTGTTACCAATTTATGCCAAAATATCACCTTCGTTCGATTACAGTTACAGTGTGTTCCGAACATATGTTCTTTATAATGAATTTATACAAATTAAGTGAAACATGATTGTGTATTTTTTTAAGTTAACATTAATAGAAATCTTTAAATATTATTTCTACGCGTTTATAATAAAATATGTCTAGTGGCTGTAATGCCAGTGTACTCAGCAAAAAGACTTTAAAAAAGAATACACTTACCGTCTAAATATTTCGTGTTGGTATCATGTGACCTCATGGACTATGACGCGGATGACGTGTAACCGTGAGTAAATTAGATGAAGTATAGGTGATTTGTGACAGGAATGAGACTAGTGGTGCCATCAAACGGAAGGGTGCACAAATAAAAACGTGCGTTAATCTTGGCTTTATCCATCGAGCAATAAGACAAAAGAGGGAATCTAATCGTTATGAAAAGGAGACCAAAAAAGTGGCCTCTGATGGCGGGCATATCCGGAAATGCAAAGGCGCTAAATTTAAATTTTCCAACACTTGTTAACAATACCTGTAAAATATTTTTCAGACAAGAAAGTTTTAATTAAATATTAACGATAATAGTCTAAAAAGTGACACAATTGGTAAAAAACTTCAATATAAATAAAATTTCATGTGACAGTTGGGACAAACAATAACATAACCAAACTAAATTTGACTTCTTAAACAAGGAAAGAGACAGTCTATCCTTGTCTAAAGTGGCCTCTCAAGATGGCACTTCCTGTCTATCAATATGTTTACCCCTTCTACCTTTACATTCCCTCTTTTGTCTTATTGCTCGATGGCTTTATCCTTATTACCAATCTAGGGGTATTCTGATTTATCACTGGTAAGGGTTGGCAGTTGAGTTGGCACAACGTTATTTTATTTGTTAATTGTTATAGAGAACTTAACCTAATAGTGCTAAAAGTACACAAAATGCAAAAAATATAAAACATTAATTGAAAATGGACGTAGATGATTATAAACTCATAGACTTAGTAAAAAGGTATAATGTTATATATGACAAAAATCATGGTCAGCATAAAAATAAGTTTGCAAAATTTGAAGCTTTCAAACAAATAGCTGCTACTCTTAATAGTTCAGGTAAGTTATTATTAGACACTGTACAACTAACAGTACATTAATGATATTTCTAAAATTCGATTTTAGCTGAAATTTGTGAATCCAGATGGTGTCTGTTAAGAAATAGATTTTGTCTGGAACTAAGGCATCTAAGAAATACAGATCCTTCTGCTGTACCAAGACGTCCATGGCCTCTCTTCCAACAAATGAGATTTTTGTCCAGATTTATTTATCCAAGAAAGTATGTATTGTCGTTATGTATTCTTTGTGTATCATTTATTGGAATAAAGATAGAGCTTAAAATATTATATTTTTATGTAATAAAAGACAGACATGTATGTACTTATTCATAAAAATTTAAGGGATCTTATTAATTTTTCATTTTAAATAATCATTAAAAGATGCCATTCATTTTCAGAAATAAATGTTCATTACTTCTTTTATTTATTATTACCATTTGCACTCAATTTATAGATTATTTAATAATTATTTATTTAGACTTAGCTGTTTGTTTTTCTTCTGTATTTTTGCCAAGCTGAAGCATTAGAAATTGCCAATTTCAAACAGCTAATCTTTCAATTACTTAATTTATTGATGAACTATCCCCATTGTTTTTCTTCTGTATTTTTACCAAATCTTAAATTCATTAGCCATTGTAAATTTTCAATAATAAACTTCTATGACTCATTTTATAAATGAATTATTACCTTTGTTTTTTATGTGTTCTTACTAAATCATACACAACATTAAATCTTTGTGACTTGTGACTCATTTGATTATAAACCATACTTCTTGATATGTTGTACCCTGTTTTTTTTTTTATGATCGTTTTAACTTTTATGACCTACCTTTCCTATATTTGATACTAATATGTTCATAATTTTTATTTTATCATCCCATTATTTTGTTTTTTCACCAAATGTTATTTCTATTACTAGGATTATAATGTATTTAGAAATCAAACCATTTTGGATATTTCAGCTGCTCATCCTTTCTTCTCCTTCTTACCTTTGAGACCTTATTTTGTCTGTGACCCAGTCATGGGATCTCTGTGCCAAACCCTGTATTTTCATTAAACTTCACCACAAACTCCCATGTTGTAAAAATCAATATCTTTTTTATGTTTTGTATGATTTATTTTGCTAGTGTATACTTGCCTCAAAGAGTATCTTTTAACTTTTTTTTTCTACAATTTTTTATTTGTAATTACTTACTTTCAGTCAGAAAAAATATGTTTTGTTATCTTATTTTGTAAATGTATTAATTTTTATTTTAGGACAAGGACTATGTTGCTTGGATACAAACCCAGTAATTTTGAATCCCAAATGAAGAGCGAGTCAGATTATAGTTTCAATTCTCAAATGAAAGAAGAATCAGAAGATTTTGAACTTAATTTTAAAGATCCTCCAGAAGAAATAGAAACAACCCCAAGTTTATCTATTAGTGATAGCATGGATTATTTGAAGGATACCAATAGTGAGGAAGACATACATGTTCCTGTAACTACCATGATGGAAGAGGATGACGAAGATACATTTTTTGGTAAAATGATTGCCAAATATTTAAAACGGATTAAAGATGTAGATAAAAAGATTCAAATAAAAATTGAAATTATGAAAGTACTTAAAACAAGTTTAGAGGATGGTTAGATTGATTTTTTTAATTTTAATGTTAAAATGAAGGTAGCTCACCAAATTATTCAATAGTTTCTTGCTTTATTTGTTGTATAAATTTGCCCTAAAACATTTGCATAGTATTTTGTGGACCTTGGAATTGCAATTGAACAAAAAACAAAAAGTAAAATTGGCTATTTTGAATAAAAGTAAAAGACATAGCCAAAAAATAAATATAGTAAATCAAATATATTAATCATATTATATTTAAATTGTGGTATAATCAACAAATAGTAGTCTAAACTATTGAAATAGTTACTACAGTTACTACATTTGGGAGTATATTTCTGCAATTGCTTTAATTAGCACATAGCAGAGTTTCTGTTTTAAAAACTGTCTATAATACAACCAACAGCAATCAAAGTTTGATAGTTTTAATATGAATATATTTTGCTATGGGATCGTTTGTTTTTGATCTTGAAAATAGATCAGACTAAACTATCAATAATAAACCACAATTAACTCCTAAAGAATTAACTTTAGATGTAGAGAATTCAAATAATACTTAAAAGAATTTGATTGATTTCTTATTTCATTAAAATCATAAAATAGAAGGTATTTAATTTTAAATGAAGCTGGGTACGCACATGCCAGTAAATTGGGAAAGTATCTGGCATGCCAGTTGCTGCCATAGGCCAGTAGCTGGCAATCACAAAACACATTAGCTAGTAATTGGCATGCCAGTAGCTCGCTTGCCTATACTGGCAAGGCGAAAAAGCAGGGTAGATTTTTACACATGTCAGTGCTAGTAAACAATCTAGTGGTTTTCATAAGTACTTGTTTTGTAATTAATAAGGTATTCAGAATGAATTAAACAAGCAAATATTGTTGATGACCACTGATATTGTTACAAATTTAATAATGAATCCGAAGCGGAACTCAAAAAAGAGAAAAATTTGGGATTTGAGAGTGTAATCGTTGTCATTGGCTATTTTATTTTTATACAGAGATGATTTAGAATTCCAAAGACACTTCTCTATATATAGCAATAAATTTGATGTTTTTTTCCCAATGAAACATTTTTTAAATTAACTTGATTAGAAATACAACAATTAATTTTTATCAACAACATACTGACATGCCTGTAGCGGTAGTGCACGTTCACACATTTGTGATTAGCTAGCATGCCAGTAACATACACACTTGCCAGTTTGGGGACAGTAGCTGGTGCTTGTTAAGTACTGGTATGCCATTGTGCTAGTAACAGACATGTGTATCTCTGGCTTGATTTACATATCAATATGCTCTATTTATATGTAAATTCCTAAAAAAAATCATGAACCACTCTAATAATATAATATAATATATATAATAATAATAATTATATGCAAAATCTAAAAATACAAAAATATCCAGTGTGTTGCTTAAAACAATATAGTTTTTGTTGACTTTTATAGTCAAGTAGGTTTTATAGGAAGTTATAGCAAGCTGTAAATGTTTTGTGCTACATATCAGCAATAGTTGTTCGGAAGTCCAAATTATATGATTCCAATTATTTTCAGGAATCTAATGTGTGGTCTAAATGGCACCTTATACATGCTTCATAAAATATGCTACTAATGGGATATAATTATGTAGATACACATAATCCATTCCCAATTGTAAACAAAGAATATAATGTGATTTCTTACTTGGTGATATCAATCATATTGGCTGTCTATCAGTTGATAGTTTAATTGAATTAATTTGCCAAATATATTGTCTTTTATAGTATTATAAGTTACATACAGAATGTTTCAAGAAGAACAGGACTTAGAACAAGTAAAGATTATCTGCTCAAAAATAATATGTTTAAACAAAAAATGTTGAGATGGATCTGTCTGAGCCCATTAAAATGTTCAGCAAGTATTTTGTGCACATTTTCTGTTCCCTTAGTATTCTCTTTCTATTGCATATCGAGGATAAAGTTTCGGTTCCTTTTTTAGAAGTTGTTTTTAGAAGTTGAATTTTTATTATATTAAAGTGGGATAGTTCCTGGGAGTTAACTATATACCATAGTAGTTAAAAAAGGACATTTTTCTTCTTCCTTGAGACCAAAGATACTGCAGTCTGGTCTTTCAGTGGTGTTTATGAATTCTATAGGTATCTCCCACTTGTTTTTCTGTATTCCGAGCATAGTTAGCCTGAATACATTCTTTAGTTGTATTGCTAGTGGAGAGCTAAAAAAACCAATTGTCCATAGTCATATTATGGTATGTTCCTCTTATAGAACTTATAAGTCACTTGGCAGAATTCGATGAGCTATTAGAATTAGATAGTCGAAAGCAGGCTTCTGGTTGAGTTTCTGCATATATTTCAAAGTTCACAGTAAACATGTTACTTGGGTCAACTAATGCGAAGACCTCGATGCTGTATTTAGCCGGCTTTGAAGGTATGTACTGCCTAAAAGGACATCGACTTCTGAAACTTACGAGTTGATCATCAATTGTGAGATCAGGTCCAGATATTACTGATTTCTGTCAGTTTCCTATTAATATCTCGTATTGTTGACAACCTATCGGTTTCCTTTCGCTCCTTACGACTATTAACATCATCAAAGCCTAGGCAACATAAAGGAAATCGGAACCGATTGTAAGACATCGTGCAATATATGGCGTCCATCCCACTACCGTCTGTTCTCCAAAAATCTATTATGTTTTGTCTGCCTGATTTACTGTTCAATCACAAATTAATCCCTTAATTTGTAATCTCACATTATTCTTAACTTCTTAATCTTTTATAGTTTCATCGTGTATAATTGAGCCATTGTAAAACCATATCGTGTAATATTTTAATAATTAGTTCATGTACCTACAACTAAATAAATTGCCGAATAATATATTTTCTAATTGAACTTCCTAAGTGTCGCAATTACGGCCTAGATTAAATTGTAATGTATGAACATCATATAGTGTAATTACTAGTAGCTGTCAATAAAACCATCACTTTTACTCCACAACCTTTTATTATATTTATCATCGTCGATCGACAAGAAGCAGACAAAGGGGCATTATAAAACGATTCGAATCTCATAACTATGTTCGAATCTTTCCATTTACTAACTCCTAAAAGGTATAACATTAAAAATAGAGCTTTCATTTCACACTTACCGTTGGTTTAGCATTTCGTTCACGGTTGTAATTGGGTTGACATTTTCAATGTATATATTTGTAGAATCAGTTGCCATTTCCACAATGTTGTTGCTAATAAAAATTTCAAAACATTCTGGTATGGTTTTGGCATTTGCTGCATCATCTATGGGCCTAGGTCTTTTTTCGAATATATTATATACTCTAGTTCTTGTTTCATCATCATCAACATCCTCCTCCCCAACTTCTTCGTCATCTAGATCTGCTACACCGAGTACTTCTTATTCGTCTAGCCCTTTGTACCATGCCATCCATTTCTCCGAATTCTGCTCACATTTGAAAGGTATAAGTAGTAATTCATATCAAAAAACAAAATAAAACAAAAATTAACAAATAACTGACCAACTTATGCAATATCAACATGAGATATGTATCTGTCCCAGCACCAAATTTAACCTCAACAATAACTCGGAACAGCTAGAAGCTGGTGTAGAACATGCGCTGTATAGGAACATATGCGGGCTATTCTGGCAAGTGAGGTAGGGTGGTATCCCACACGAGTACTGTAGGGTTAATACTTTTAAGTATTTAGAAATATATACCAATTACAACAGAGTATTAACTTAAATGTAAAAGTTATTTAATTCTTATTATAATAAACTCGGTTTTCATTTGTTGATGGTCAATTTTTCTCGCAAGTGTTATTCCTAGATATTTTTATAATCATTTTACCTCGATGTTTTGGCCGTTTTTTATATCGAATCCGTCCGGCTGAATCCTTCCTTTAACCATATTAAATAATATGGTACTGTTTATAGTATCGTGTCTACTACCAATACAAAATACTACTGTCATAATGTATTTTAGGTATTATTAAGTTTTTTACTTGTAGGTAGGTAAAAATTCTCTTTTAGAGAGTAAAAAATGCTTATAATATAATGAATTATTAATACTACAAACAGTAATACAGATACAGTACACAGTTAGACTAGAATCGGTTTGACATTCATGCGCCAGTGTTTAGTGTTTATAGTATGAAAGTACTACGGTCTTACACAACAGACCAACGGCGTTGTCAACTCAATTGGCGATGTCTACAAACTATAGGGGGCGCTTTGACAGATGATCATCTGATCACGCACGTAGGAAAACAAAACAGAGCTACCATAATCTTTATTGGTGAATGATTGTTGTGTCTAAAAATTATCCGTATTTATTATCTTCCATTTATTTTTTTGTTAACGCAATGGCAAATAAAGAAATTGAAGTTAGTCTGCTCCACATTTTGAAATATATAGGAGACACAAAAAGACCTTTAAAAGAAGGCGAGGCCTTGTTAAAGACTGGCCACGTTGTGTTGTGTGGTAAATATAATAACAAATTAGCCGGTTTGTGTCTCCAAACGATTAATTTAAATGGTGCCCCACATGAAATCACTGTGGATGTGTTATGAGACGAGTGAGTGGTAAAATGCACTTATAAAGCCCGTCTAGCATTCACCCATTCCTCATTGATTTTTCTTTCGTGTTTTCTTTTAAGAAGGCATTGAGAGGGAATAACACCTTTCTTTGAAAGTTTCTTTTGCCCTGCTGCAGTTGTAATAGAAATTTTAATTAAGATCTATCTTAGTGTATATATTTGATTAGTTTAGGTAGGCACATTATATATTAAATGTTGCAATTTTGTTCAGCAAATTTACTTGAAAAAAAATCTGTTGATAAAAAATGTTGTGAACACACGATCATATCACTTGATATCGATTTCCCAATTTTTAATTCCTGTGCCCAACGATCTTGTATATTTTTGTCACGAGGAAAAGAGTGCATGGTTATTCCTTCCGATCGATAATTACTGCATTGCCGTGCAGAACAATACTGTTTACATTTACTTTTTAACATTTTGTTACCT